CTTACTATTCCTGTTTCCACATATCAGAAACCCTGGTCTAGATATGGAGGCTTCACTGGAGAAATGGAAAGAAAGGATGCTAAAAGAGCACGCAGGGAAGCAAGCTGCAAATCAGCAAAAAGTTGCTGAAGGAAGTGTTTTCTGTGACTTTGTTGCTTCCTCCTCATCCCGCTGCTATGAGAATCAAAAGATTATCTACTTTTGACTTCCGTTGTTCACATTTTATCAAACTTATGACCGGCTAAAAATGGATTTTAAAATGCTCAATGATAGTGTTAAATTATAAAAATCTTGCAAGTTTCAGTAGGTGTAAGAGGAATAAATACCAAAGAAAGAATATAAAAAGACCGATTATATTATTTCACCTAAGAAAAAATTACCATTGATTAAGGCATCATACAGAGATTCGTGGCTTACAAAGCTCCCAAAGGTCTTACTTGTTTACTGGAGGTCACATATTTCAAAATGTTAAAAGATCAAAGTTGATGGACAAAAACCAGTGCCATTGATTAAAAAGAATTTCCAGAAAGTGGTAAAAATAATTGCAGGGTGTGAGGGAACGCAACACTGCTATCAAGATTAGAAAAAGAAACAATTAAAGATTATTTTGCAGATTTGACCTAGAACAGCCAGTTAAGGTAAGAAAAGATCAGTAAAGGAACAATAATAGTCCCACGGGATGGAATATACATACCACAGTGACAAGACCCTCTAACGCCTTAAGTGCAGCTATTTTCAGAGAAATCGGATTCACTTAAGTACTATCGGTTGCTTCCATTCTCAAACCTTCATTTTGCTTCCAAAGAGAAGCAGTTATACTACTACACTTTCATTTTTGTTCCAGTTGAACCATTTGATGTGCCACCACTCTTATTCCAAGGGCACTCAAATCATTAATATCAATGTTGACAACTTGGGCAAGATATAAAGGCATTCCTGATCAAGATTATTAATCAGCGAACCATTTGGCAGAAGAGAGATTCTTCAATAACTGACTGCAACATACATACGGATAATCAGTAGAATCCTGCATTTCTTGGAACAAAAATAGTGCATAAAGGATAAATGAGAGGGAAGGATTAGTGATTCTGTTATAGTGCCCAGTAAGCTAAAATAGCCGGCTTGCTTTTTGATGGTAAAAGCCACGTAATGAAAGCCTTCATCAGGGTAACTGTAAATACCAAATTATAGCTCACAAGACGCCTAAAACAAATATCGGCTTCTATCAGACAAAAGTTGGAGAAAATGAGTTCAAATTCAGATGGCTACACAAATAGTGAAGAAGAATAAAAATTTAGTCTATAGAATTGCAAGAACAGAATACTTGACGGTATCATATAAAACCAAAAAAACTTAGACAGGAAGAATTTATACTCAGAACCATAAGAAACATACAAAAAATCACCAGCAGAACTACCTGTTTTTTCCTTTAGATGGAGATAATAATGAACAGTCGTACCCGGCCGTGCCCTTTGCAATAGCAATAAGCAATTCCAAGCTATGGGAGATGTGAAAATGGGAGTTCTGAACAAATATTCTCTTGTTGCTTGGCAGTCATTAACGGCAATGATTTTTGTAATAAGGAGCCTGAGAGATACCTAAATGAAAAAGGAACCTTACCCCAAAGCTAGTTATTAAGGTGGGAGAACCGTCCCACTTAAAGATCCCATTAAGCATCACACACTACTCATCATGCAACTTAGTGTCCCATATCACCAAAATCTCCATGAAAGCTACCTACCATTAGTAATCTTTCGACAAGAGCCAATAACAGGCGAACAGGAACATTAACCTAACAATAAGATCACATCAATTTTGATTAGACTTCTCTCGGGAAAAAATTAGAATTCACACTACATGCAGTTGCTAGAACATAAATTGGATCCTTGTTCCTTCCTTTGGAGGAATTTAAAAGTACCTTAGCAGAAGACGAATTTGTAAGCATTGTGCAACAGCAGAGCATAAGTGGTGAGATAATAGACATCACTGATTGTTCGGACCTCTTTTGCTTTGTTACAAGCTTCTCCATCCCATATATAGCCTCTTAATGTGGTGAACTTTTTCTTTTCCTGGCAGACTTAACAATCTAGTAATCTCATACTGCTTCAAGATGATGATCACCCGCTGGTCTCAAAACTGATCCCCATCAAACAGATAACGTTAACATCAACATTCTGCTAGACCCTGAAAAGCATTATTTAATTGACCATTTATTATCACCACAATTTTCTGCATCAAAGCAGACCAATTTTCTTCATCTCCTTTCACTTTGGGAAGTAATGCTAGGCAATATGAGCAAGTTTATGGGTGAATAACGCCGAGCACCCAAAAAAATCTCGTGGCATGAAGGAGCTTCAATAGCTTTGAGAGAACTTTTTTTTTCTTTGCTATAATTCTGAGGACTAATAGTTTGTATAAATTTATACTACCAAAGTCATAGAAATTCCCCAAATTTAGTACTTCCCTTGGCAAAATCGATTAGTGGTCTCTGTCTCTCGAAATCAGTTTTTTTAGGTACAATGTCTCTTGAAAGTTGAAATCATTGTCCAACTTCTAGTCCCAGGTTTTTGAGTTCGATATTTTGATGGTTTTCCGTTTTGTCCACAAAAAGCAAACTCTAAACCCAAATTCAATAATTTGTGGCCAACCCACTAATACTAGGTCCACAAGCTAAGCCCACTACCGAACCCAAATTCCCCTCGACCTTTGATTATGTTCATCTACTTTCTCCCCTTTTTAATGTTCATCTACCCAACTCAAGTTTCCCCCGACCTTTGATTATGTTCATCTACTCAAGCGTGACCCTAATAGCGTCCACCACCTTGAGTTAAAATCATGAATTAATGAGGGGTTCAATGAAAGAGATTAGTCTATCACAAAATAGCGAAACATAGTTCAAATACATATCTGGCGTCCAAGAGTACTTAAATAAATTATCTCATATAGGGGGATATTTATGACTACTAAAATAAATAAATAGTCCCCTGTTACTTAATATAAAATTTATTTAACTAATTTGATTATATTAACAAAGTTAGATAAGTTAGTTATAAGAAATATAATATGTTTTTTTCTAAAACACCATAATCATCTTCCTTAATATCTCTCCTTTCTCCTACTTGATCATAGTTGAAGAAGCATTAATAGGAGTAATATAGAAAAAATTGATAAATATAAAACAAATAAGTCTTATATTTAAAATTAACTCAATTCAACAATTAGGTTCTATATTAAGAACCGAAGGAGTATAAGTTATTTATAATGGAACAAGGAAAAATACAGAGAGAATTTTATAATAAGATCACCGTAACTGCTTTATTTCAACTGACGCCAAAAATTCTGAAAATACTTTGCAAAACCAAATGATAGGATTGAAATTTTGTTTTAATGGCGAATAAATAAAATAATTTTAAAAAAAATTCTCCCATCATATATTGAATGGAAAATTTGATTTAATGGCCAATAACTAAAATGTATTTATTTTTTTCTGAAAAAATAATTCTCTCAATACCATCATCAGAGATGTCACCCATTGGCCACCAAACTCTCACTATAAGTGACTAGGCCCTCATTTTCCCCAATAATTGTTACTGGAGCTTCAACGCTAATGAGCCAATGAGAGATTTGAACTCATGTCTGTTTTGACCAAAAAGAAAAAAAAAGTACTCATGACCGTTAACAAAAATACATATAATGCAAAAGGTTATATATAACATAAATCTGATTTCCAAACCCAAATCTAAATGAACATGTCAATTTAGTTACTTTGACTTGTCAATTCACTTAGGAATTTAGTTACGTTGACTTGTCAATTCACTTAGGAGAACTTGTTAACAATACTCTTTGCAAATTCAATTTTCTTTAATCATTACATCATAAAGTAGACCTGGGCGGTGCCAGGATTTAAAAAAAAAAAAATTTGAAGAACATTTTAGTCACTGGCCATTTGACATTGTCTTTTCCTTAATGCCACACATAAAACACATCATCATGCTCTTGAATCTTATCCACCAAATACTTGTCCATTACAAGTAGGCCCTCATATAACAATCACAATATCCATATACTATTTTAGATGAGGGATCATAAATTAAGAGTGGAAAAGGTTTTGCTTCGTCTTCCTTTTTTTTGTCACTCCATCACTGTCAACTACTTTCCACATATATTCTTGAACTTGTGAAGAAATAAGAGCCAAGATTTTAGTTTTACACCTAGTAAGTGAAAGAATGTGAACTTTATTAGTTATAAAGATAATGAACTCAACCAATTAAAACATGATTTCAGACAATCTATGAGAATAATCATTAAATGACTTAACAATGGACAAATGATTACATAATATTTGGTAATAAGGAAGTCAGTGGGATAAATGCGAGCAAATTTGTTGGAACTTTTTAATTTGATTGATACTAAATACCTCCTTAAATTTTTGTTTAACAAATCGTGAGTTCAATCCTTTATGAATGTGATAAGTCTTTGAGTTTTTTCTATTAGGAGAAGAATTAAAAAATGGTCAGTATAAAGGATAGAACATGGATAAGTAAATATTTCTTCCAATCATTAATATAAGACCTAATTAATTAATTTAAAGAGATTAAATAAGTTACAAAATTATTTAATTATAACACCTCTTTAAAATACTCATGTATATTATTAGATTATATATAAATTTATAAGTGAAACAAATTAATTTAATAAAACAATAAATATAAATACTTTAAAATAATTTAATAATTTTCTTTAATTTTTAAAATTAATTAATTAAGTTTTATATTAAGAACGAGCTAATACTGAATAATCTTAAAATGTAATCATAATTTTTTTTTATTTTACTCTTGCAGCATTTCTCTTGATTATTATTGGCTATGATCGAATGACACTACCCAATTGGGCGAGATTGATTATAAGTCATTCGAGGGGTAAAAAGGGAAAACCGAACAAATATGGTCAGGCGATATATAAATAAGAGGTGGCAGGAAGACGCAATTGGCATCGAGGAACTGGGAAGCAGGAGGAATTTTTCATGAATTGGGTCGTGCTGTCGCAATACTACTAGCGATAGTTTGATTCTTGTGGGGAAGTGAGCTCGGAGCACGAGATCGTGTTTCTATATGCTCCTGTAAGCCTTCGAATTGTTAATCTCTTTTTTTTATTGGATCTACAGTTCTTCTTCCCAATTTCTTTGCCCCTCGACAATTTTTGGGTCGGTACTAATCTTTCGTTTCTTCTTCTTTTTCAACAGAAGCTTCTTCAGGCTTCGAAATTTCGACAATTCTTTCTGATAATTCTAGTTCTAGCTGCAAAGTTTTGAATTTTGACAGCTTCTTTGGGAGCCTGAAATATCAAGAAGTTGCGAATTTAAAGGGAACTCCTTGTTTTTTTATAAACACCGAAAATTTTCACTCTCCAGGTTGGTGTCGTTTCAGTAGCAATTTCCGCAGTAATGAAAACTTTGTGCATAAGCACATCCCATTATGGAATTATTCACTCTAAACCTTGCCTGAAGTTTGTATTTTTAGGGGGTGTGGTGGATATTTTAGAGACCATGCTCGCACTTTTTTAAAGATCTTTAAACTTTATGTTGACAATATGTATGATCTTTAAATTGAAAGTTGGGGCAGAATGAATCGGGAGACAATGGTTTCAAACTATTACGTGGAATTTTCCTGAAATTTAACATTCAAAAGACTCGCGATTGTGTTTAAATTGCATAAGTAATTTAGCTTTTTTCCTATTGAAAGAAGAGGGGAAAACATGAGTTTTAGCGAAATGAATATACAACTTAAAAGCACCTGTTCTTAGTCATTCATTTGCATGGTATCAGAAAAGAATATATAAAGGTCATCTTTTATGTGGATATCAGCTACTCGTTATTTATTCAAGCATGTCTCTTTCGGAAATTCTGAAGTTTTTGTCTATGCCATTTCTTTCCTGCTGTCTTCGCCCCCTCACAGCTGAAGCATATAAAGCCAACTAAATTAGCCATGGTATACATTTGAATGCTTTTCAAGAAATAAGTTAGGGTTCCATGAACTATAATTGCTCTCCAGTTCTTCTTAGTTCTTATCTATCTCTTTTATAGTAATACATCCTGATAGAAATTTCTCAACTCAACGGGCTAGAGAAACATACTAGTTATATCAATATTCTCAGTTTAAGTGCAAAACTGCATGCTTTCATGTTAAGAAGGATGGTATCAACCCTAAAAAAATTTTATTTTTAAACCTGAAATGCCAGCCATGACATGGAAACTATCTCATGATTAGGAAAGGCCAAAATTCCCATTTTCACAAATCATTGCTGTAACCATCACGTTTGGCACCGATGTTCAGGGATCTTTCCCTATATGCTGCGTAATTTAAATAAAAAACTGCTACCCCTCTATTCTAGTTTTTGTAATTTATTTTAAACTTTCCCCCAATTTGTTTGATTCTGTTTCTTCTCTCACCATGCATCACAGAACCCCAGAAAGCTAACTCATTTCACTGCCATGAAATTGATTGAAGACTCCACACGTTTGAGCAATATTGTATCCTTCTTGGTTGTTTCAGCAAAAGCTGTCCAAATTTGAAAAGGACTGGGTCATGCTTTTGTGGAAACATCTAAGAGGTTACACAATTAGGCATTCTTCACCTTACCTTTTTTCTATGTGAAAATGTAGTGATAGTGTTATTTTTTATTTATTTGTTACACATAATATAAACTCTCTCTGTTTTGTATCTTACGAAATTATTAGCTGAAACCTCTCAATAGCCATTGATGTGGAAGTGAAGATATAATTTTCTGGATTCGCATTTTTATTGCAGTCGGATCAACAAAATTTAAAGAATGTAATTTGAAATTTAGGGATAGGGGATGAGGGTAACTTCTCTCATTTAGGGGATTGAAGACAGGGAAAGGCGAGATAGGGGCTGATAAGGACAGGGAGAAGGAGTGCATCCATGTGGAGTTGTCACCCTGCCTCATGATCATAGGTTAAAAAATCCCAACCGACTCCCATGAATAGGATTACTAACTGAGAAACTATTTAACCATTTTTGCATTCATCTTCATGTTTTACAATTGAGCATGTTGAACATTGATGGATGAGGACCTTCGTTTCATTATGAATTGCAGCTGATAATGGTCTGCCAATCTGTGAAAGATTGACACATGGATCCTGAAGGCAAAAAGTTTGGAGGAGGTAAAAGTTTTTCTTATCATCAATTGTCCACATATCTTTTTACTTGTTTTTACGATAACCTCTGTTTATCTATCTGTATGACGTCATGACTTTGCTCACCATCTGATTGAAACTACTTGAATTGAAATGGTTTCTCCATGCCAATTTAAACTCTATCCATAAGCATACTTTTTTAAACATTCTGAGGGTAAATTAGGGCCACCTGTCATTCTACGTTGTAACAGTATCTATAACACTTCTTTTAATATTCATAGTTTCTTACCAAGCTGCTTACTAGGAGATTATCACTAGTTGTCAATCAATTTTGTTATTAGATTGCATGTATGGTGCCAACCGTAATGACTGCATGGGGATTTCTCAAAGGAATATTTATGTTTTTAACCATATGTTAACATTTGGGAGACAAAGCTGCAGTTGAGAGGAATTTCTCTGTGTTATATTTTATTTTAATTTAATTTACTGCATTCTCACTGAAAACATGCCTTCTCATTTGAACTTTTAGGACCAAGGGAATTAACGGGTGCCGTAGATCTTATAAGTCACTTCAAATTACTTCCGCACTATGAGTTCTTTTGCAAGAGGCCACTTCCCATGTCAATTGCAGACACACACTATCTTCACAATGTGGTAGGAGACACTGAAATCAGAAAAGGAGATGGGATGCAGTTGGATCAACTTCTTCAGCATACATCTTCTTCCATAGATACAAGTGCTCGTATACAGCCTTTTGACCTAGACATTTTGAAGGAGGCTTTTCAACTGAGGGAAACAGCTCCCGTTGAATTACCTCCTGTAAGCATTTTTATGATTTGATGATAGCACTTAGGCTATTGCTTGATGTGGTTTTCTATACTTCTAGACACTGGCGGTCATGTGATTTGAGTTTTCATAAACAGCATAGTCTGCTAATGTTTTAGTTTTTGCTGAAGACTGACTACATTTGTGCTTACTCCTTCCTCCTACTTCACTCCAATTTATTGATAGGCCGAGAAGGGGACTCCAACTATTGCAGGAAAATCAAAAGGTGAGTCTAAAGACAAGGAGAAGAAGCATAAAAAACACAAAGACAGGGACAAAGATAAGGATAAGGAGCATAAGAAGCACAAACATCGTCATAAAGACCGAAGCAAAGACAAAGACAAGGACAAAGAGAGAAAGAAAGAGAAAAGTGTGTATCATGATTCCAGTGCTGATCATGCAAAGAAACACCATGAAAAGGTGAAGGATTTGTTCTGCTTGTACATTGTTTAAATTGTGGATAAACATTACTAAGTCTTGAGTTCCCATGCCATTATGTTGCAAATTTATTCTTTCAATTAGCTTTATTAGATATCTTTTATTTATTTATTTTTTAAATCTAAATTTTAAGTTTCAGCTGATGACGATGTTAACCCTCAAAGTGTGATTTAGGCTCAAATTAAGGAGATTTATTCTATTATATACCAGTGCTATACAAAAGGCTTTGCTTCACTTACTATTATCAAATGTTGCAGAAATTTAGTTCCTTGCATAAATCTTTCTATTCTGTATGCTTACAGAAAAGGAAGCATGATGGAGATGAAGATCTTAACGATGCAAACAAACACAAAAAAAGCAAGGTAATGAAAGCTTTGTGTTGAATGGTTGTCATTGTTTATTTATATCTTTTTATTCCGTTTATATTTCTGCTTTCCGTTTTCTTGTAGCTGACCTTGTCCATTATTTAATGAACCTTTCTTCTGCAAAATAATTTTACTGCAGCATAAGAGCTCAAAAATTGATGAGTTGGGGGCAATAAAGGTAGCAGGATAAAATGGATACATACTGTAGTTCACTTTTTTCCTCAAATAGTTGTTGTCAGTTGTTAAAGTTTGGAGGGGTCTCTCAGTTGACATTGTGAAACTTAAGGTACTTCATTATAATTGCAAGATTTTATTCCATTTCTCTGCTGTCCGCATTGTTTAATCTTTCTTTAGAGTGGCCTTTTACTTTATTAAATGTTATGTGGTACATATTTAATTCTACCTTAGTCTTGCCTCTGGTATCCATGTTAATTGTTGGAAAAATTCTTACTGACCGGTACCTGATTCTTTGAGAAGAATGTGGGACAAGGGAATATTAATGTTGCTTCGAGGGTTTCACTAGGCTTTTCGCACTTAGCTCTTTTGGCTAAAACTAATAATAGGCTGTCATATTGGGTTAAATGGCCTGCAGAAAGTCAAACATCACTGCCCGAGTGTGCTGTAAGCATTTTTCTCTTTGGTTAAAAATCATTTTTCTTGTCACAATTTTTTGGTCTTGCTTCTCTTGTCTCGAGTGCTATACCTTTTGGGGAACATTAGTGCTTTGTGGGTAGTCTTGGTTGATGCTATGTGTAATCTTCTCTGAGTACCAGCCCCTTGCAATTGCATCTGCTAGTTGGCTTCAGTCAATAGTAAAATATTGAGCCACTTCATTTACCTAAACTAAATATATTTTTTCAAAGTGCTCATCCTTAATTGGTCAATTTTCACAGTCAATATGATATTAGATGCTTTAGACTATTAAAAGCAAACCATTCCATAAAGAACAATACCTCTAACTACAAAATCTGAGCCATGCTTGTGCAACACTAGTAGTTGCCCAATTTGATAATGGGATCCTGGGAAGTTGCAGCAGTATCCTGCCAATCTTATGAACAATCCTGATGACTGCTGTTGGATGAGAAATTTCGCTCTTAGAAATAACAGTTGGTAAAAGAGCATTTGTTTTCAGATGCTGTAACAAATGATGAGATTTCATTTTACTTGTTTGATGGAGGAGAAATGATTTGGTGAGAAAGAAAAAAAGTAGTATGATGCAGCCTGAATCTCGTTAGAAGGCTTTTTTTTTTTTTTTTTTAAAACCTTTTGGTGAAATAACCTCATCGGAGGAATATGGTATTATGAATTTGTAAAATTTATTATTATAGATATTACCATGATGTTTTAAACATGTGATTCCTTGTAGAATTAGTGAGCTTCGAAACTTTGGACTGTAGGTCATCTGAAACATTACATTTCTTGATGATTATAAGACCTCTTTTTAGCCTTCAGATACCAAAAGAGAGAAGGTAAACTTTTAGGAGGTTGATTCATAATTTTGGTCCTTTTGTAGTGAACATCTCTCTTTTGAAAGTTGAGATTCATGGGAGCTAACACTAATATTAAGAGCAATTTGATTTCACTTTGGGAACCACCAAAACCATGGTTTTAGTGTTTTCCAACATGAAACCAGACTTATACTGATTGGTTCTCATATGAAGCTTTTCCAAATATCGGATCCTTGGATTTAACTTGGATGAACACTCCTAAGAGTTGTATTAATTAAATTTGTTCTTAAATATAGGTGATTCTTGGATTATTGTTGTCCTAGGGCTCCTTTCTTCGCCTATGGGGGAGAGATTCAATTTTTGTTGCGCGTAATGAGATATATAACATCTCTTGATTACCAGGGTTGAAGCATGGCTGCATGGGTGGTGTGTCTTTCTTCAACCCCAATGTCTGCTTGCTTTATTTTCTTGCTGCAACATTAAATTGCAACAAAATGCTTCTGAATATTTAAATTACAAGGACTGGCAGGACTTGTTTATTATCATGGTGTTTCCTGCATGTTTAAGAGATTCTCATCATAGGCCGCATATTGAAATCCGTTAGGAAAAAACATTTTCTGATGTGAAAACCCTCGAGAGTTTTATGCATTGGAATTTTTATGTTCCAATTACTACAAGACCTATTTTTAAGATATTTGAATAAAATAATTTTAAAAAAAAATTCAAAGACTTTTATGCATTGTGCTGCCAAATAATGCTTGCTTCCTCCAGTACTTGTTAACGACTTTTGTAGACGCTAGATTAGGCTTTCTTAAAGTTTTTCCTCTAGAATTTGTTAATCTACTTGGTCGCTGTTCTTCTTTTGTGTCTAATATGTAATGCTTACATAGTATTTCAATATCGTTTTGATCCTTATTAAAAAAAAAAAAAAAGCTTGTTTCCTTTATGACGCCTTGTAAAAATCTGTTTTTATGTTCAGTCTGGGGGGTGCTAGATTCTTGTATTTGTTTCTGGGGGGTGCTAGATTCTTGTATTTGTTTTATAGCATCACCAGATAGTTTCTCATTGATAAATATATGTGTGATGTCTTCCAATTTTATGCAGAGTAGCTAGTGAACTGTCAGTAAATATTATCATGAGGGTGAATTGGTGGAAGAAAAGGATACTGAGGTAAAATTTGCTGAGAATGAACCTTGTTGTATAATAACAACGATCTTATATATTAGTGCCAGTAATTTCCCAAACTCTGGTCCTTTCTGTTTTCCCAGTTTTGTGGCGCACTGGACATCTCAAAGTGAATGATGCATTGTACTTTTTCCCCATCGTGGTTTTTTAATTTTCTAGTTTACTCTTCCGTAAATAGTTTTTTTTTTAAATTTATTTATTTAGGGCTAGTTGCTTAGGATGATTGAACTAGGACTAACACCGCGAAGCGTGTATATTGATTGCTCCTCCCATGCCCTGTATCTAACAGTAACAAGTCTGAAATTGATGACTGTATGGCTTTGCATCATGCAAACTAACTCTTCTCCAAGTTCTTTGTATATCTATTGGATTAAAATGTTATTTTGAAGCAAGGAATATTTTCAGCTTTAGATGGCCATTTAGGGTTAGTTCAGTTCAGAGGCTTAAAAACAATATCCTTTTTTTTTTTGTGTGGATGATGTCATTAAGATTGGGTATGATTTGATAAGTTTCAGCATAGTATTGATGGTTAGAGGTACTCACGCTGTAATTTTTTGTAACCATGGTGCCTTTCTACCAGCACAAGATTGCTTTCATGATTTGGAAGTAGCGAGTTTAATCCCTGCAACTTTTGCAGATAGTATCATCTGTACATATGTAAATGTAATGAAATAATTTTTTGTGCATATTCAGACTAGTATGTGTTCGCATTCTCTGTGAAGGTATAATGGGTGTTTAGTTATGAACCAAAAAAATTGTATTATCAATGAAATAGTAAAAGCAAAGTTATGTATACTTTGTAAAATTGTACGGGGTTTTGGGTCCTAACTTTCCCTGGGCCTCCTCAATGTAAGTTGCTTCTTTTGGGTCGTAGGGTGAAGCTGACCAACATCATGGAATGTGGGTTATCTCTTAATAACTTGGAAACAGAACAGTGTGTGCTTTAAAAACGTGAATGAGTTCAAAAAAGCCCAAGAAAGATTCCTATAATTTATTCTTCCCTAAACTAATTGGTGTCACGTGAAAATTAGTTTTTTTTTTATAATGATTTTCCAAATCCCATTAGGTTTTTCAAAAAGGAATTAAAAGCTGCCAACGGTTTGAGTTTAATCAAAAGCTGATCCAACGGCATTCCCACATGGAAAACCGATGATTGACCCAAAAGAATACCAGAGATTAATTGTATTTATCTCATCTATGGGTCAAGTTTCAATTTGATTTTTGGATAGCTAAGATAAGAGTGTGTGCGGGGAAAAGTGTACATGTGGATAGCGAACGTGGACATTAAATCGTTTAATCTTTGATATTATAATAATATGATATGTTACGTTCAGCTTTCTTTTATATTCATTCGACATAACTTAAAAGTAATTTTTTTAATTGTGATTTACAGAATATAAAATAAGTATGAGATATGAGTTTTATCTTAATTTACGTAAAATGTGTTTATAAGTGTTTTTACCTCTATTTCAAGCAGGCTGTTAGTGTATTTGCATGTGGCTTCTCCTCCTTCAGAATCTGGGGCATACAAAGGATATTCTCTTCCTTGGTTGCTTTTTCTTTTTTTTGGGGAAGATTTTAGAGGCCCACCCTTTCCTTTTACAACCTTTCACTTTCCCTTTACTGAAACATGTTGGCTTTCCTCATTTATTACCGTTGCAATACTTCTTTTTGGGGCTGTGCCCGTTTGCTTCAAAGGATCACAAGGAATGTAATATTCCTCTGCTACTAAATATATGTGCTAATTAAATAGTTGGTTTTCATCTTAAATATAATATATTATTTTATTTTATTTCTCATATTTATTATTATTTTTAAATAAAATTATCTAACTTATGAATTGATATATAACATAGTTTCAAGATCACGTTGCATTTATTAGAATTAAGATATTAATTTGACCTTTTTACTTAATCTATTAAATTAGTCAAATTACTGTTACATTAAGGATCGGGAGAGTATAATGATAACCAAGTATTTATTTGGCATGCTATATTTCATAAAAAAATAAATATGAAAATATTAAATTGCAAATAATCATCGTTTTTCAATCTTGCATTATTTGAACAAATTGGAGTCAATTTTGGCAAATTCCATTATTATTTTGTGGATACAACGGAGCCAAATAAGTCACATTATTCTGAACTGAAAAACTCAAAATGATGGAAAATCATTTTTTTTTGTACAAGGAAAATCAATTATTTTTGTCCATTTCCTTTCTAGTGGACTCTAGCTTTCTCTGTCGTTTTACCCTTTTCCCCCAACATCTGTGTCTTCTTTTATCTTGCCTTTGGAGATATCCAATAAAACCTTTTTTCTTTTATGTTTTTTAATAGAAAAGTGAAAAAAATTTTGTTCCTTTAATGAAAACATCTGCATCAAGCCTTTGGAGAGCAATTATTTCTGATGAAGAAATGTGAGAGCCAGTATGTCCCATGCAACATTATTTTATCAATAATAATTAAATTATGCATCTTCAAATCTCATCACTTGCCTTTTAATTATTCCAAATAAATTATCCATCTTGTGTCCAATAAATTATCTCCAAAACAGGTTTCACCTTCTTTTTTTTTTTCCTGGAGCGAATGGAAAGGAATCCGCATGTCGTAATAAATTGGAAGAAAAAAAGAAAAACTAAAATCTCAAGAAAAAAAATGTGATAATAAAAAAGTCTCATTAACAACTGAGCAATATGGACCCGTCGTCATTTTCTATATATTGGAACTTCTCATTACATGCTATTCACTTGTTATAAGATTTGTTAGTGATTATATTTCTTCTTTGGAACCTCATATTAATTTTTCCTATTAAATTTATAAGAGATCCACTATTCATTTATTGTGAATACATTTTATATTTTTGGACTTGGCATGAGTTTCACATAGAACAAATAATAAAAGGGGAAGCAAGTTCATAAGGATGAATTCATTGGGAATGTTATGAGTTCAATAATACTCCCTCCGTTCCTTATTATAAGAGACAAATAACCAAATTACGTTGATCAAAAAAATAGTTAAAATTAGTTGAGGACAATTAATGTGTAAAAAGTATAATGTTTTTTCCAACAATGCCCCCATTAATAAGGAGAGAGAGTATGAGAGAAAACAATTAAATTATTAAAAGAAAGAGAAGTGGAAGGGAGGGAGAGTATGAGTTGGAGACAAAATAAATAGGGGTAAAATAGAAAATCAATACAAAAAAATAGAGACAACTTTTAAGTGTCTCTTATATATGGGAACATGCCATAAGCATCAAATGTCTCTTATAATAAGGAACGGAGGGAGTAGTAAACTTGACAGATATATAATCTCTTGTAATTGGGGAAAAAATTTATTTATTAGAACGAATTATTTGCAAGTCACAATCAGCATTAAAAGTTCTATTATACTCCTCCGGTCCTTAATATAAGACCCAATTGGTGAGTTGGTTTTGGTCCTAAATATAAGACCCATTTCTCATATTTATCAATTTTCTCTAAATTACCCCTATGGATACTCCTTCAACCATAATCAAGTAGAAGAGGAAGATGAGGTATTAAAAAAGATGATTATGGTATTTTAGGGAAAACGTGTCACATTTCTTATAATGAACTAACTTACCTAACTTTTTTAATCTAATTAAATTAGTTAAATGGGTCTTATATTAAGGACCGGAGGAGTAATTAGTTTGAAACCGTGGGACATGAATATTAATGTTGATATTAATTACAATGGCGACCTTGCCAGCACCAAAGCCAACTAATTATATGAGCATTAAAAGGGTTATTGCTATAAATAGAAAAATTTATTGGGAATGTCGATGTGATAATGTTCACCTGAAATTTACAAAAAGATTCAATTGAAAGTGAAAGATTACATTTATAATTATATATTTCTCTGATTTTTAGACTTCTTTTTCAGGTAGTTAAAGACAGTTATAAGTCCTTCAAAACGATCAAGTTTACAAAAATCTAATTGTTGCCCTTAGGCACTCCACAATTGGTTTGACTCGCAGTCTTTTTAATTAATTTTAAGCGGCATTTTTAAAATTTGGATCAGTCATTAAGTTATTATTTCCGGACCTATTTATCTATAAGAAGCAATGGATTTGATAAATAGGTTCGGAGGTAGTACTAATGAATCAAATTGGTAAGAATACTAGTTTACGAGTTATTATTATTTGATAACTTATTACACATATATATGACATTTATTTAATTTTTTTATTCCATACAATTAAATACACTCACGTATGCAAATATGTTAAAGTCAAGTTTGAGCCTGAAACCCATCCAAACATAATAGGTGACGCTTTTATTAAGACAATTTGTCATTGACAAACATTTATTTAATAAACAATAAGCAAATACAAATGAACTTAATTAAAGATACATAGTTGTAAAAGTTGTTTGAAACCTTCCTAACCCATTTATTAGGCCATCCAGCCGTGTTGGAATTCAGTTCCTTGGCTTCTAAGGTTAATCTACTTTGAATAATTACACCTAATTTAGACCTATAATATTTAAATTTAACATAATAATGCCAGATATTAAATAATTGTAGTGAAAAAAGATAAATCATTATTCAAAGATCATACAACTAAATTTAGAATCTAATAATTAATGGATCTCTCTGATTTGATGATGAATCTAATAATAACTGCTAGTTTTTTTTTTCCGGTTGAATATCTTAGATGTTGGCTTTTTATTTAAAAAAAAAAAAAAAAAAGACAGACCTCTTGGATCCCAAGTTGTACTTTGCCTTATCACTTCACTGATTTTAGGGCAATTGCCTTGTGAACTTTTGTTACATTAAGGCATCAATGTCCTATGCATAAAGCGTGATGAAAAGAAGTCATGATTAAAGCAACTAAAATCACGGATATATAGTGTAATAGAGGAAATTAAGCATCGAAGTCATTATTATAAGTGGGTCAGGCTAGCTAGCTAGTGTTTTGTTTTTTGTTTTCACCCCATAAACCAATCCAATAATTTCAAAGGGTAAATTCCTTGGCAAGTAACATCATCACAATCATTTTAATCCCCAAAAAAAACTCATAATAATTATGATGGGAATCTCAGTGGATTATCTCACACAATACTGTGTGGGGTTGTTAACTTGTTATGACTTGCAAAAAGATTAACAGGTTTTGCTTTTTAAATGTGCTGTTATTTTATTTTAATCTGTATATAAAATTTCACAATGTCTTTGATATGCTCCATTTGATTCAAAATCTAAGCATCAAATAACTGCCTTACTTAATTCAAAAAATTAATTAAAATTAGTTAAAGATAATAAATACATAAATATTGCTGTAAGATACACCTGAATTTGCTCCTAACGTAACATTGGTTTAAAGTAGTTTGAGAAATTAAATTTACAAATTACTATTTATTAAGGAGCTCTTTAAATTT